ATGCCTGGAGTTCAGGGTTACCAAATCTCATTTTTGCCACAACGTCGATTTAGGCGGTTTCGTGCTTTCATGCTGACACTAATACCGACAGGCTTGATTTAGCAAAAATGCTTCTTTTTAACCGACTTCGATAATTCTTTTTTCATCGGAAACGTGGCACCTCAATGGTAGTTTAGATTCGATAATTGGATCGTGAAGAAATTAACGATAATCTTAAATTTTTATATGAGAATTGAAGTCGGTTTTGTTTTTTGCTTAAAAATTACTTGTTATAAACTACTTTTACCGTCAAATACATAAAAAAAATATATGTAAAAGTTTGAAAAACAACGCTTATTTTTGAATTCTAGAAACCTCTTAAATAAATAACAGTTCTGTACGCCCAAAAATATGCAATGTCTGTAGATAAACATTTTCGATCGCTCATTCGCCACATTTCGTATTGCATATTTTAAGGCACACTCGCTAAGTAACTGAAACCCACTGCACTAAGTAGCTTTATTTCCGGTATTTCATAAAGTTTTATAGGGACCAGCTGACAATGTTTGCAACATTAAATAATAGAATTTCAATTTGCGGCAAATTTGTGTTTTCTTACGGTTTTCTATACTGAAACTTTTTTGAGTTATTTCATAATGGCAATATTTACACACATAAATACAAACATATACTGTATGCAATTAAGGTAATGATTACTTTACATTAGCAGTAACTAGTCACTTTTAGCAAAATTTAATACTGAAGTACTGTTAAATCGGTATTATTGTTCTTGAATTGTAAAAAGCAAAGAAAAATATAAAATTGTAGATGTACGAAAGGGATTACAATTAAGTTTTGTAAATAAGAAATGTATAACAAATCTATAAAAATACTTGCTATATTAGATTGAGTGCTTCGCACAACTGAAATTTTATAAAAAAAAAGAAACAGAAATTTTGACCTAAAACAGCCGTCAGAGCTACTTTTGCACATCACATTGTAATACGCGATGGGAACGACCCAGATTTACATATATATATATATATCAAAACCGAAACTACGGGCTACCAGAAGTAGTGTTCCACAGAGTATATGCCGTTAGAAATCAATATAAATGTATGTAGCTATAAATATGGATATTTTTAACAGTATTTCTCTTTTCAAAACCGAACAAATAAATTGAAATCTGACACTGATTAAGCTGTTTAGAAATATGTATAAATAATAATGAAGTTTAAATTGTATATATACACCTGCGTTCAACTAATTAGAAACGAAATTCAAACAGATATTGTCTGCAACTTATGTTTATTTTTTTATTTTTAATAATTTTCATTTAAACTATAGTTCAATCTGTAACAGAAACCACAATAATAAAAGTTGCAAAAATAAATTAATCAAACTTCAAAAAGTTGTCATCAAAATTTCCGAATTTTTAATCAGAATATTAAGAAAACTTTCGGGTATGCAGTACTGTAGCCCATTTTACGTATAAAAAAAATTTTGATCATGTGTTATATGGAATAAAATGCGCACCAACCTCCAAAAAAAAAAAATTTTTTAAATCAACGGTTATTTTTAACGATTTGAGACTTGCACTTTCTTAGACTACAATTGAATGGGTTACAGAAGTGCATACCCGAAAATGTTCTGATTCAAAATTTGGAAATTTTGATGACAATTTTTTGAAGTTTGATACATTTTTTTTTTTTGGAATTTTCGCAAGCTTTGTGGTTTCTGTTACAGATTGAACTATATATATGAAAATCATTAAAAATAAAAAACATAAACATAATTTGCAAACAATATCATTTGAATTTCGTTTCTAATGAGTTGAACGCATGTGTACATACATACATACATTTATGTACTTTAAGTTTAGTATACCAAGAATTCATCATTTCGTGACAAAATTGTTGATTTCTTAGAAAATTAAATAAAGAAAATACATTCAGATATTTTATTAAATTGAGGTGTGTATTTATATTAAGCGTAAAATATATAGAATTATGGCTTACTTAATAAGTACATATACATATATAGTATATATAAATGTTGATTATTCGCTGTAAGTTAAACTTACAAATGAAAAAAAAAATACGAAGAATGTATGAATAAGTATGCATACGTATAGACAATTACATATATGTATGTACATATGCATAAGCAAATATACCTATATATGTATTAAAGTGGATACTAGCAGTAAAGTATGTAAGTTTGCATTAAAAAATATTTATTTGAAGTAGTTTAATGAATTCCAGAGTAAAAAGATCTGATTTTTGATGTGTGCCTCTTTTGAAGAGGGTGTGCGAAATATGCAAAATTACACAAAAGTAATTAACAATAAAAAGTTATAATCATTTCTTCAGAATCCCACGATTCCGACCGGTGTCAGAAAAGCTTCGAGCGGCTCTAGTACTTATTTCCAGCACCATACTTCCCAAGGTACGCAAATCGTTAAAATTTTGAAATAAGCAATTCATGAAACCTAAATTTAACATTTTGAAACTTAATTAATCGAAGCGACTTAAATCTCCCATATCTTTCAATGTTGCCGCTGACTGGCCACCGCCAATACTAGCTGGCACTACTTCAAAGTCATTATCATTGTCAACCATATGTGCATTATTTAACTGTTGCATTCCTTTTAACTTTGATTTAACTTCATTTTGTTTGTCATCCAAAGGTTCATTTATTCTGCTCTTTTTCGCCTTTTTTGGTGATGGCTTTTCCTCAATCCTCCTTGGTGCCTGCTGTTGTTCAACCTTTAAATCACCTTCTCCACCACCGGTTTCGTATATTTTTCGTTTTTTATTATGTTTATTACTTTTCATAACATCTGGTCGTATGCCAGTGTCATCACTGCGAGGCAGTTGATATTCGCCAAGTTTTTCTTCCACTTCAGGCACGTTAGGTTGTAATTTTTCCTGTAATGCTGCTAGAGCTATAAGTAACGCTTCCTCCGTGCGTATAGTGCGTGATCCTTGTCTCGGTAGCACATTCACATACTGATCGAATAGCAGCGATGGATCGTCTACATCTAGTTTGTCATCGTTAGCTAACGCCGCTTCAAGTCCCTTGAGGCCACCGAATACTACAAGCAGATGATCGAACTTGTATGAACGATTTGGCACTTCATGCACATTTGTGCCATTATCCGAAGTGCCAACAGTGAGGTCATAACCTCCAGCGTAGGGCGATTTAGTGAAAATTTCGGCTAGCGAGTGAGCAATGCGCACTGTGTAGCCCCAGTACACACCTGTCTCGCGACGCGGCTCATCAGGGCTGACGATTTTGCCACGTAACTTCTTAGTGTTATCTAGAAAAAATAAAATGAAATATAGAAATTATATATAGGTATATTTTGCATCATACCCTTTACATTTTCCAGCTTAACAGTAACACGCACCCCTGGTTCGATCGCCTTATTGACTAGCACATCATTCAGCAAACCAGCATTTACATACGAATATCCATCCTTTGCTTGTTTTTCTGAAATGATGCCTTCGCGATATAGGAAAACGTTCTGCTGGCGCAAATGGTGTGGCGTATCCAATGGATTCAAAAGTCCTGAATATTTCAAATCCTTATGCAAAGGGAAGAAGTACTTTCGCAGATACTGTGGACATTCCAAGTACTGTAGTATGCGCGCCAATTGTAGGCAACTACTGCGCACTGTTGCTGACATCGAATTGCCACCGTTTTCCGTTCCCTCTCCATCATCTGTGTCATAGTTGCGTTTTGTTTGCCGTGCCGTAGCCACGCCGATATCATCAAAGACAATCACTTCATGGACGCGAAAAATGCATGCAGCGCGTGCTATTTGACCAGCTACGTAGGAGCGTAGTTCAGCCGATTGTGCATTCTCGAGTATGGAACCAGGAACTGCAATGCTAATAGTTGAAGCTTGCGGTTTAGGCGTAACCGCGATATCGGCGGCGGACTCCGCAGCATCCGTTTCGGACTTTGCAGTCTTCTCCAGTTCCTTCAGCAATTTTTCATGTTTACGCTGTTTTTTGAGCGCTTTCCTCTCCTCGTTGATCTTCTTCCATGACTTTGGTTGCTCATTGCTGGCTTTTATCGGAGGCATTTCGAAATAATTTCTTTATTGTTTAGTAAATAATTGCAAACAAATCGAGGAATACGATCACATCAACACGTGTGAAAAACAATTCCAAAGTGTGGTGAAAATTAAACCGAATTCCAAATGTGTTGAATAAAACAAGTGGACACTTCTCAAAGCAGCTGATTTTAGGTTTGTTCGTCGAGCAAAAAATCACGATTTTTGCCCAAATCGCGTTCGTGCAGACCAAAAAATTATCCAACACTCAAAAATTGTGAGAGGTAAGTGACAGTTCTCTTGGAGAGAAGTTGCAAATTCTTGCTGGAAAAAATTTTGCCAGCAAGAATTTGCAAACACGAAAAACATGTGGTTGTGGCGCATGGTTGCACTTTTGTCTACAATAATTTGAATAAATTAGTTCGTTAAATTTAAAAATTTATAAACACGAGCGATTTTTTTATGAAAAAAGGAAGTAAATAATTGTTGATATAATTAATTTAGTTAATTCCAATGATTTGAACTTAATTCGGCTGAAAAAAATGGTATTCGCAATCGGAATGCAATTGCAACCAGAGTCGATTTAAGAAACCCGACAGCTAGTACGATGAAGAAATTGAAATGTATGTCAAAGAAAGTCAGAACAACAAGAAATATACATGTATATCCTGTTTTTGGCCATCCGAAAGCATTTTAAAAATTCTATAAAAATTTTTTGTGTTTGAAATGCAACCGTGGACGTTTGCGTTCGTGCAGAAATTTGCAAGTTTCTCAACATGAGAGAGAATTTGAGAGAATTTTTTCTTACTCTCTGATATTTTGAGTGTTGGATAATTCTTGCTGGATTTTCGACGAACAAACCTTTTAATTGTTTTTGTTTTGATTCCACCTTTCGTTAATTTGGAACAAAAATAATTTTCAATTTAAGCGCTTCAAATAAGTGGATTAGCAAAAAGTCTTTTTGATAAAAATAAAATGAGCCGTGAAATATTGGCACCACCTCTACAACGTATGGACAACAACCGTTGCTATCGCGTGAATTTAATACACGAAGATTTCGGAAACCAACTAGCGGACATGCAGCGCCAACGCCATCAACAAGACACGAAACCGACGGGAAACGCTTATATGGAGCAGGGTATGATAGTAACGTACATACATATATCCTACCGTTTAGATGGATCATATGCAAACTTCTGGTATCGTCATCGTCGCATCAGTCGGCCTTAAATTTGCCTTGTAGCAATGATGACGTGCCAGGCTGCTCAGGATTTATTTGATTTATCCATATATGTATGTGCATATGTACATATTTTGGGAAATGTTTAGTTATTGGCCCACCGTTTTTGGGGTGGGGGGGCGGAGGGGGAGGGGGCGGGGCCCCCCAAACCCCCCTCATTCGAAAGGGGACAGTCGCCACTTTACGAAAAGCCCCACCCCCCCCTTGGGGACCTCCCACAGACCCCTAGGGAACCGTTTGAAAATGGGGTAAAAACGTAATTTTCCGAGGCAAACTGAGCAGTTTCAAGTGGAATATAACCCAACTAACGAAAAACGTGGGATTTTTAAATAAAAGAAATTATCCCAAGTTGGTTATCAGGCGATTTGAAAAAAAAAATGATGGGGAAAAAAATTAACTAACAATATTGTGAAATTAAGAAAAAAGCGACAGATAGAAATGTTCGGCCGCACTTAGGGATTATAACCCTCACTACGTAGAATTCTCTTCTGTGTTGCCAAAGAAAGGGGGTTGAACACCTTTTGCAGAGAACACCTTTCTGCGTAGGCGGCCTTCGGCCGCACTTAGGGATTATAACCCTCAGGCAGTAGAATTCTCCTTTCTGTGGTGCCAAAGAAAAGGGGCCGAACACCTTTTGCATAGAACACCTTTCTGCGTAGGCGGCCTTCGGCCGCACTTAGGGATTATAACCCTCAGGCAGTAGAATTCTCCTTTCTGTGGTGCCAAAGAAAGGGGGCCGAACACCTTTTGCATAGAACACCTTTCTGCGTAGGTGGCCTTCGGCCGCACTTAGGGATTATAACCCTCAGCGAAAGGAGCCACAGGGACAGTAAATACATATTTTCCATGGAAAGGTTTATATTTTTAATGCTGACTGGGTTATATCATATTTTCTTTTGTCTCTCATCCTTCTTGTATATTTAGCAGTTTGACAGCTAAACGCCACCATTTAATGTGCATATGCAACCAAAGGCAAACGCGTGGTTTTGAAGATGTTTTTATTTAATAAATTGTGATTGATAGATTAAAATTAAAGTAATAAAGAAAGTTGTAACAAGTCGAATAAAGTTTAAAGTGAAGGGGAATATAAAAATGCATTAGTGAAGTGGCTGCTTTAAGGAAAATAGGAGTGATAAATGTGAGCTATTTTCCGAATTTTACAAAAAAGGGCATATTTCAAACCCAATTTGTAAATAAATTAGTGACCAAAAATTACAATAGTGGATGTTAAAGTAATGGGTAGACCCTTGGCTACAAGTGTGTGCAATTTTTTTTTGGATCGGGTCACCCCTTTGGACGCAATACCCCGAAATAGGTGGGCCACTTACTAAACCGTACCCCATATTTTAATAAACTCAAAAATCTTTCCAGACTTGTACGACGAGGACGATGATGATGAACACGATGAGGGAGGTGATTTTAACTTAGAAGAATTGCCAAACGGCCATTACAAACTGACTATGCATGTGGCGCCGTAAGAATCCATTACACGACAATTTTTAGAAAATACTTCCCACACTTCTATTGCAGGAGCTTTTATGGTGGCTTGATCGGGTTCAAAGGCACCACCAAACGACGTATAGAATCTGAAACTCAAACCGATATTTATATACCCCGTAGTAGGGAGGGTGGACAGAAACAAGCCGATGATGTTACGATTAAAGGCAAGTGTTCCGTAAAATCTAACGATATCTTAAACATACAACAATCGTTTTAGGAAAAACTCGAAGTACCGTCATGGCGGCACGCAGAAAAATAAATCTGTTATTAATTTCATTGCGAAAACGTATGCGGCCGACACACTTCACCTGTGTGCCGTTAAATTATGGCGAAGTAAAGGAGAGATTCATTGCAATGAAGGTAAATTGTTTGTGTTAAAATTGCAGCTTTAATTATATTTTGTTTACATCTCAATTTTATGCTCCACTGCAGAAGCAAATACTGGCTCTCAATTTGCCTGGTATTGATGAAAATCTTTTCCAATCTGATGATTGTATTCATTTAACATTGATTACCTGTGTACTACTGGACGACGCTGAACGAGCTAGAGCCGTAGAGGTTCTGCAAAGTTGCAAGTGAGTAAACATACTGTATAGCAATGTAAATTAATTTAATTTTCAAAAACACATTTTTTTCTCCACTAAGGTCTTTCCTTGCCGATCTGCAGACGCCGTTCCAAATACAGGTGCGCGGTTTGGAAATTATGAATGACGATCCAAGCTCTGTACGCGTATTGTACGCTCGCATTGATGCACCAGAATTAAAAAAGTTTGGTGATATGTCTATGCAACCTTTTCTACGCAGTGGTTTGGGTTTCGATGATCATGAACGCGGTGGAGTAAAGCTACACATGACCATAATGAATAGTCGTCACCGTAAGCAAATTGATGCTAAAGCGGCTGATTCTTTCGATGCACGTGAAATACTAAAACGATTTGGTGATTATAATTTTGGTAAAGTAGAATGCAGTGAAGTGCATTTGTGTGTAATGCATCATACATCGGGCGACGAACGAGGAGCATTTTATAGAATCACAGGAAGTTTAAAATTCTAATGCGGGATTGGTGAATTTTGAGTGTAAAGAATGCAATATGCTAATAAAGTATAGTACCATTTGTAATAAAACTGAAATACATATGTATGTATGTACATACATATTTATTTTAAATTGAATCTTAAATAGTTTTAATTTCACTTTTTTGTGAGGAGCCGTAAAGTATGTCCAGTTTCAATATTGTACTGTATGTATGTATGGTAATAAGATCTCTACAAATTCTTGAGAACTTCTACCAATTCATACTCGTTTGTTGATTTCTTGATAATGTGTTGGTAATGCTTAATTTAAATTTTTCTAAAATGCTGCAGAAATTGCACAGTAAAAATTGTTATGTTGCTTTGATTTGTCAATGATGAACAACTGATTGTCAAAATTTTGTTCCTCGAACGCTTGATATAGGCAGAATCGCCCAAGTTTTCGCATAGTGCGTGATGTTCTTTCAAAAGTGCCACTTCCGTATAATTACAGCTCGAATACATCCCAGGTTTTATTAAGATTGTTGCCCCTAGCGTAGGGCTTACTAGAAATTCTATCTTTGCTTGAGCACCGGTACCAGGTAGAGAGAGAAAACCCCACAATCCTAACGGCGTCGTCCCTGAGGACCGACCCAATAGAGCCTGCACGCTTCTTGGGGCTGCCGTTAGTGGAACTCGACGACAACGACTGAGATATCAACCGATCTGGGCTAAAACAACAACAGATATGGTTGTAAAGTAGTAATTTTTGAGTGCATACTTACTTGCCTACAAAGTACAGTCTTCCATATTTAACTAAAACACTTATCATTGCATTTCTTGCACTTTTTAAAAATATCTGCTTTTAATCTTGTTTCGTGTTTTTTTTTCTCAATTCGTTATTTATGCATTTACCTTAGTTTCACATTCAAAAAATTTTACATATCTAGTTTGCTTTTTATTGTAATACACTGATGCTCTTTAACTTTATTGTGTTCTGCAATATATTTAGTAACTTTTTTTTTTGTTTATAAACTTAATTGTATTTTAATTTGTATCGTATTCTATTGATTGTGCATTTACTTAATCAATTGCTCTCAAGGAAAATACAATTTATATTTCTCAAGGAAAGTACAATTTATATGGCTCTCAAGGAAAACACAATTTATATTTCTCAAGGAAAGTACAATTTATATAAACGGATAGCCAAATGCATGGTGTTTCGATTTGCTAAGCCTAATTTTCAAAAGTTCAAATATTTAATTAATAAAAAATATCAGGTAATATTTGAATTGAATTTCATAAAAAACCTACCTTCTAATAAAAAGGATTTATGTATGCATACATAGTAAACGTGCAAAAATCTGAGTGGAATAAAAATCAAATTGGGGAAGCCGCAGTTTGAGCACAACGAATGTGGTTTCGACCTTGTTCTTATTCGATAAGCGATTCTCTTTAGCCTAGTACGTTAGGCTAATTGTTATATTTATAACCCCTCGAAATAGTTACATATCCAGTTAGGACATTTTCGATGTAGGGCGATCTTACACTCAGCTGACGATTAGTATGTTACTCACAATAAAATAAATTCTGGTTACGAACTGACCATTGGCAGCATTATTCACAATTTTAATAAACAAAGAAAGTGAGAAGCGAACTTGATGTAGACGTCGTGTCAGGAGGAGACACGTACCTATAATTGAAAGCTTAGCTTCAAGTCATTATTCTACTGAACCAATCACCATCAGCGCCCAGACTGTTGAAAAACCATGAACCCAAGTGCTTGAGTCACTTCGTCTGTACTTGTTGATTTTTGTCACCGTTGAAGCATTGGTGCTATAGCAGTGTCCTGTGATAATTTTCGGTTAGGACTCTTACTGCATGTCTATGGAGTTTCAGTATGTCCCTTGTCTTTTTCCTACTAAGCCGCAGCCATAATAATCTTATGGTCTCAAAGTCTTCCCGTTTGTTCCAGAAGTCATTCGTCGCGGCCACGGTGTATTCACAAATTTTCCTAACGTTATCACTAAACGCTGGTAGTACGGAGCTATCCGCTTCTTCTATTGGCATCATTGAGCTGTATCTGGCCGTCTCGTCAGCCGACTCCTTCCCTTCAATATACATTCATACGGCTCAGTGACGCCAGCGTGGTGCGATATTTCCATACAATTCCCGATTTTACTATTGCCTTCAGTGCCGCCTGACTGTCGACAAAAATAGTGCCTTTGTCTTCTAGAACTCTACTGCTAAATAAAAGACTAGGCGCCCTCTCTATAGTGTAGATCTCCGCTTGGGTGACGAAAGGACCGGTTGATCTTTAAGTCTATCGAGTAGACACCGGCTCCAGCTCCTTTTTCCATCTTTTAACCGTCAGTGGAGATGGATATATCCCCCTCTGGTACTGGCAGTCCTGCATCCCATTCGCTGGTCGGGAACCAAGGAGAGATAAATGGAAGGACTAAACATCCTCGGTGGCGAAGCGATGGAACTTGCCATATTTACTCATGGAGATAGTATTTTCCTGGGAACCACTGGACTCGACGTGTCAATCAACACCTCTGCAAACTCTCACCCGTCAATTCCATTAGCGAACTTAACTCCTTGCTAAATTTGACCCCAGCATGCCCCAAAACATGTCCAGCTTTTGGGGTACCCCCGCACAGCAACCACTGGGTCCCATCCCGCCAAAACATCACTTTTTAGGGTCTACCTTTAGTTAAGCTTAAAGACAACGACCTGCCAATTAGACAGGGAAACGTGCCGATACAACAACAACTAGGTAGCTACAAATATACGCGCTTATAATCTCGTCCATCTTTGCTAACTTTTTTTTCATTGTTTTCATAAATTTTTTCGAGCAGGGATGATCTGAAGCGAGTGGAGAAATGGCGAATCAAAAGCGTCTATTTAGTAGCATGAGGTTAAATTTAGCGACAGCTTACTGTAATGTGTTGCTTGCGTGCTGCTTAATTTTTGCATATTTTTAGGCTCTACGGTCGAAAACTTCCACATTTTTATCTCACTAAAGAAAATGCCACGAAATACGCATGCCGTAGAAAATCTGTACGCCATCGAACTTTCAGCCTGTGCCTTTGAGCATTAGCATCAATTAATCGAATGAACCTATTTTTGCATCATCGTCCCAACCCAAATTGTGCTCATCCTGCGCTTTTCGCGAATTTCAAAATAATTTCTTTGTATTTTTTACATTTTTCTTTTTCCTTTCTTAGCTGTACGCAAATACTGGTGCCAGAACTCGGGTGCCTTTAGAATTACATAAATACATTTTTATTATACATACGTATATTTTATTATAATAAGTGTTTACAAAAAGAATTGTAAAAATAAAAATATCTAAAAATTTTTTTTTTAAAAACTCGTATGCACATAAACGCACAATTGATTTTCATATTTGTGGCGGAGTTACACTTGTATGTATAAACCAGAATTTACTGCTTTATTTTATAAAACTGAGTATAGTAATATGTATGTCTGTGTTGTTTACGCTTTTTAAATTTTTATATTATTATTTTTTCTTCTTCTGTGTTACTGTTACTAAGTATTCAGTCTAAAAAATGCGTGTTTTCTCTGTTTCCCCTTGTTTTTGCATTAGATTTTATTTGTTTAAATTTAGGTAGGTATTTATTTTTTGTTGTTCTTGCTTCGTTAATTACCATTTTATTGACCTTGCACATACAGTGATTTCTTTTAAATATTCGTAATATTTTTTCGAGCTAAATATATAAAAAAAAAGCGCAAAAACAGTATAAAAAAATTCTTGGGCAGCAAATAACAAAAATAATTTACCTCGAAATACATTACGAATATTAAAAAAAAAAATCAACACGTGGTCATTTGTTTGAGTCAATGTATGTACATACATATGTATGTAGGTACATATGTGCTTGTGTATTTCTTAAGTTGTGTTTAAATTTAATAGTGTGAAAAACATTGATAATTTGTAATTTCACAATAAACTGCATACATAATTTTATTTTACTCTGTTATTTCGATATTGACGCTTTTCTTGTAATGCGATGTTTACCTTTTGTTTACAAACTTCAATAGTTCTTAAAATTGTGGGCATATGTGTGCATTCTATTCTCTCGACATTCATATTTACATACGTTCATCCATACTTTAAATGCAAGGAGCGGATTAGAAGAAATTTTTAGTTATTTAATAGCAGTTACTTTTCTTCCTTTGATCAACAAGTGTTTTATCTTTCAATAAGTCGAGCGCCTAAAAATACACACCGGCTGTGTAACAAAGCAAAATCCAAACATGAATTTTCATCTACATCTATTTGGATTTGTGCAAAGATAGCCAATAGGCTTGGAGGCTCAAAACTCCAGTTCTCCATGATTTTTCACTCCAATAAGTACAACAAGGTTTTTAAAGCTGAAATGGCGACTTCGTTTGCAGATAATTTTGCCGCCTTATCAGAAGTAAGTTTTTCATAGCGAAAATGAAACTAACAAAAATCAAGTAATTTTTAAGCAAAAAACAAAACCGAACTCAATTCTTATATAAAAATTTAAGATTATCGTTAATTTCTTTATAATCCAATGATCGGATTTAAACCAACCAAATTAGTATGGGACCCTTAAAAAAATAATTAGGAAAGGGAGTTATTCGAAAGTTCTTAGGTCTAAATTTCACCAGTATTGAAGTCACGACAAAGAGCGGGCTCTAAATCGCTGTACTAATGTCGTTTATTTATTATTACAGTCTTATTAGTTAAAGACTGCACTTCCTATCGTATATTTCGTTCTCAAAAATTAAATATTGAAACAAGTTTTATTCAAACCCAAATAATTAGTTCAGGCTCTGTCCAGCAAATACCGCGTTCAGCATCTAAAAATTTTTAGCCTTGCCCTCTATTGAAAGATGATTTGCTTTATTTTCAAACCGATGTCTGAACTTCAATCCAAAATTAAATGTGTAGATCGTTACTTTTATATAGAAACTAGAGCTCTCGATTTTGTTCGCACATTTTCAAACAGCCCGGGTATATGAGCAACGAGTACTCGCACACTTGTTCAATGCTCATTACTCGAAAATTTTCGAGCATGAGCTCGAGCAATTCGAGTTTTTTCGAGTAATTTGAGCAATGTTTT